CTGTTTTCAAATATGCACAGAGAAGAACTAGATATATTGAGAAGTCATATTAGTGATGCGCACACGACAACAGATATTTCAGTTCAACCAGGGCTGATTGCAGCATGCAGTTGAAAAGAGCTTTCAAACCGACTCAGGCGTTAGTATTAGACTAATACTAATTTAATGCTAATGCAAAAAGCATTGAATTAAGTTTTTAATACTTAATACAGAAGCATTAAATTACTTTTTTAAGACTAATGCTTAAGTATTATTATTAGCATTAGTTTAATGCAATGCTAAGACTAATAAGCCACCCATAATTGAGAGTCTATCATGACTCAGTGGCCAGCGGTGCCCATTCTGGTAGAGGCAGAACAATCCACAAGATAAAAAACACGTATTTCTGGTCATCGATGTATAAAGACATCAAGAAGTAAGTGGTTGGAGCAGTTAGTGGTCTCCTTACTTCATGTTATTCCTGCATATGTATTTTTACCATTATTTTTAAATATGCTACATAGATTGGATAGGCACTTTGTTTAATCCAGGTTGCTGAGATAGTTTCTTGTCTCACCTGATTGAAGAACCCGAGCTTAACGACTAGTAGAAGTCAAGAGTAAAAATAAGTGATGACATGAACCACCAGATGAACCAACAATAACGAATTTGTTCGTCAATACCTACTGTGTTCGAGGAAAAAGAGGACTTTTCGCATAAAAGAGGCCAAAAAGACGATTTATAGAAAAAAAGAGGAAAAAGAGGCGGAGTGGGAGGCCAGGTACTGGTATAACAGAAACACTAATACCATAGACCTAGAAAGAACAAATAAAACATGAGACTACACAAATCAATCCGAATCACCTGCTATTACACGAGCTGCTCGCCATTGTCGCTTTTCTGTTTAGTTATCGCAGTCTTGTGTGTTCGTTACCGGATGCTGCTCGACCGTCGAATCGTCGTTAGCTGCATTTTTACATTTTGCGACAGTTTTTATAAACAGTAGTGGTATAACAGAAACACTAATACCATAGACCTAAAACAGTCACATTATGGTACAGACAATTTTCACAAAAATGACGACTTTTACAGCGGCGAAATGTTGCTTGCCCAGCAGGGCTTGTGAATACAATTAATTAGGGCATAGTCCTGATTACTTATGTATATACTGACCCTGCTCTATCTCATCTATATATGATTAACAAGGCAGTTGTCAAGAATGGGCCTATGACTTTGTATCAAGTTACGAGAATTTGTTTTATCAGTGTTCATGTAGTAGCGTCTTACATACATAAGTGTCCATTTGTTCGACTAAGATAGACATGCAGTCCTACGCAAAAAAGTGTAAAGTCTACTATAGCAGATATCATTATCGGTAGACTTTCAGGACCGGAATAGCGATTGCTAATCAAAGTGAATTGAAGATTCGCATTTCTAAAGCGAAGCTATGAAAAGCCGTTTTACAGTACATCGAGCCGTTTTATCGGCGTAAAATAAGCGAGAGATACATGTGAAATAGTTCTTTGAACCGTTCCTAAGTGAGTAATCCTTTTATCATTGTTTGAAAAAATTTCTACAGCTTTGGTGAAAAGAAAAGAGGCCATAATAGAAAACAGTTACTAACTGTATCTGTATAAGAAGTTTTTCCTTCAATTTTCAAAATTTCGTAACGATAAGCAAGGATACATCTCAGCAATATTCAAAGAAAGCTTTTCACGTTGAAGTGAAAATTTGGCTAAAAAAATTAGTATCTTCATCCTCATTAGGCTTATAGCTTCTGAAGCATGATGAAACAAGATGATGCAATGTACCATCTTAATATAAGGATATCTGACTTGGTTGCTTATGTAAGAGAATCTCCTTACATAACATACACTCCGCTACAATTACCTCATATTCAATTTTTTTAATCGTTATCACTATCTCTGATCTGTCATTTATAGTTTATAATCTTTAACCGATGAAACTATAATTTATTTTAGATGCCAGAGAACTGATTTCCTACTACATGGAGTCATTTCGTGTTCAGCTGTCTCGTGAATTAGTAGGATTTGAAAAATTATTTTGTTTATACGGAAATTGGGTAACAATTGCGCATGTGGCTCATCTTAGTGGAGATGCAAGTTTGTTGCTGAATAATGCTGATCATGTCATTCGTCAATTATTAAAGCGTCATCCACGACTTAGATCGCGTGTGCGCATTCATCGTGATCAAGTAGATTCGCTGAATCAGACGTGTCTATTTGAAACACTTGAATATGACAATGTTTTTACGAGTATCGACGTGTTGAAGCATTTCTATGAAATTCGTCATACTCACGATGTCAATGAATGGAAAAAGCTAACTGAAGAGGAATGTAATCGTAACCCGTATGATCCGACGCTTTCGTTAATTTTTCCTGTGTTCCGTTTTTTATTCGTATTAAATACGCATGATCACCACGAATTTCAATTGATTCTGTTCTCCAATCATTGTGCAACAGATGGTGAAAGTGGTTACATAATCATCAATGATTTCCTCAGTCTAGCCAAAAGTCCTGTTGATCAAGAACCGTCAAGTGAAAATACCAGTGAGAACGACATTTGTCGACGATAAAAAGGATTTGCGTTATATTGCATTTCAACCTGTACGAACAAAACTTGTATTTGGTTGCAGCACAGACAATCACTACCAGAAACTGAAAGATGCTTGCAATTCGAGGTCATTGACACTTCATGGTCCACTTTATGCCTGTCTGTTGTTAACAATTCATCAGTGTTTCTTGTTGAAAAACAAACTTGTAACACTCAACGATTCACTCGAGGAATTTGACATTGATGTTGACTATAATTTGCGTTCACGCTTACCTCAAACTCCTCTAACAAAAAAATCAGTGGGATGTTTTGTTGCAATCGGAGCTCACCGACACGGTCAAATTTCGCTGTGTACACCATTTTGGAAGTTCGCTCGACAGTTAATGACAAAAACGCTTGAACCGCTACAAAATGGTAACCTCTACTTTTAACAGCATGTATTTAATGATATGATTAAAAACACGCATACATTCTCTAACTTAGTATCGTCATCTTGTTCAAACGGCGCATTTCGCGAGTTTAATTTTTCAAATGTTGGCAAGTACACTTTTGACACAACGACCTATGATAGTAAAATTCAACTTAATAGTATTCATGTGGTATTAAATGCCTCGATTTATCATCCATCAACATTCATTTGGGTCACATGCGTCAAGCATCTCGATTTTTCCATGGCTCATGAGATGGAAAACGAACATGATGCACGTGTTTTTCTCGAAAAGTACATTCAATTGATCGAGAATTGTTTAATGTTCAAAGATAATTTGACACTACACGAAATTCTGCACAGTTCTGTCACAGAATGTCAGAAATAACTTGGAGATGACGTATGACATAGGCATGCACCGATTTCGAAATTTTTCTTATGGCAAAATACTAAAGCGTTATATCGTCTGTGCTACTGTAAATTCTCTGTATATATGATATGTCATTAAATAAATAAAGTGTATCGATACGAACAAAAAAAGCAAAGGCGAGAAATTCAGTTGCTGCCCACAGTAAAATGGCATGCTAATAGACAGTTCATGACGATGTGAATTTCAGTTTTACGTGCATACAGTTAAATGTCTGTTTGTAGTCCATGATTCGTGATGAAATAATGGTCTAATAGCGGTGATCGTTGACAGCCAGTTATTTTTTCCAATCGGTTACAGTCTGTTAAATCAATTAGTTATAATAACTATCTATGACAGTTAACAGGCTGTACATGAGTTATTAAATGTCAGTTTTCGTTGACCTCAGCAGTTTTGTTTATTCGCTGAAACCTGTTTTCCTATATTTTATTGACGTTCACAGAAATATTCCATTCAAACGTAGTCGGACGTTACATCTCTCAGCATCTGATGTGTATACCAGGCACTGGTGGTAGCGGTAAATCTCATTTAATCCAAGCAATAACAACATATTTTAAGTTAACAAATCGAGAACGAGCGTTAAGGAAACTAGCTCCGACAGCTGTAGCTGCCAGTAACATTGACGGCCAAACAATTCACTCATTTTTGGTACCGGTTCAAGATGTACACGAAAGTGTGAGACTGGGTGATAGTAAAGTAGAAAGAGATTGGCAAGATGTTGAATATGTATTTATTGATGAAATGTCAATGGTAGCCCTGTATCTTTTGGCTCGCTTAGCCGAAACGATAACGATTGGCAAAAGTTTTCCAGCGGAACTTCCATTTGGTGGTGTTTGGTGATTATATTCAGTATTCACCAGTAATGGACAGGGCATTATATACAAATTTGGAAAATGAATTGGCAACAAACGCAAAAAAAGTAAAATCACTCAGAGAGGTTGATATAAAATATCGTGCAGGCCGCAGTATAATGCTGCAAATTAACTGTGTTGTTAAACTAACGCAACAAATGCGAACCGTGGATCAGCGCTATAGTGAGCTATTAGATCGTTTGCGTCTAGGTACCTGTACAAGAGAAGACTACGAATTTCTGTGTACACGTGTTGTGGGTCCAAATAACATTGTTAAATCATTAAATTTCCCGCCGTGGAAAGACGCAGTAATATTGATTTATCTGAATGAATTGAGAACAGAACTGAACGGTATGGCAGTGGTTGATAAATGTTACGAAATAGTAGTACCACCTGTAATATGTGTTGCTGAAGACACATTCAAAGTGGAGACGGTGAACGTACCGAACTTAGAAGCCATGTTCTATCGTTACCTGACAATAAAACCGAATTATTATCAGGTTATCTACCACTTGTTCCTGGTATGCCTGTACTGCTAACGAATAATATTGCAAATGAGTAAGGAATACCAAATGGAACAAGCAGAATATTTCGAAACTTAGTTTATGAAGCATCAACTGAAAATCCAAAGTCCGATGGCAAAACAACCACGTTCCCTAGCGAGACAGTATTCATACAAAAGCCACTATATGCTTTAGTGGAAATTCCAAAATCAAAATTAGAGAAAAAATTAGAAAAGTTCATTATCCCCATTCCTCTTGTTAGTAAGAGATTCCAAGTCGACGTAAAGCCGTTGTTATCAAAAGCAGTTCACAAACCACTGCGAAACACAAGAATAACCGTAACACGAAAACAACTGCCATTTGTGCCACCATACGCCATAATAACACATAAAAGCCAGGGACAAACAATGGCTAAGATTATTGTCGATTTAGTTTATCTAACATCGAAAAACGCTGAAACAGGCTTAGCATACGTTCCCTTATCTCGTATCAAACGTCTGAAAGATTTAGCAATATATCGACCATTTCCTTACAAGTCATTGCTAGTCCAACCAACATCTGACCAAACAAATGAATTACGTAGGTTGGAAACATTAAACACACAGACATTAGAATGTTTTCAAAATACACGAATGTAGTTTTTTCCTGAAAATACTATTTTCAAAGAAAATTTTATTTTCGAAATACCGTTTCCAAAGAATAAAACAATGCTCTTTCCTCTTCACATACACTCTGAAGGAAATTTCCAACACGCACGATCAAACATCAATAAAGTCGCTGACCTTTTCGACCACTAGAATTCATTGTAGTACAAATTTTTTGTTTAAGTTGTATAGTGTTTGGAAAACTCATGTATCAAAAAAGGTAAAAGATCATCATATTTTCCCAAAATAAAATTTTCTCTTAGCAAAATTTTGTCGACTTGAATGAAATTTCGTAGACGAATCATGAGTTTACTACGGGCATTTTGTGAAAAAATAATTCATAATGTTTGAACTTTAAATCTGGAGATAGTCAATGTTTTCCCTGTTAACAACTCTAGATGGAAAACCAGCTATTCAGTGTGATGCATCTTCCATTTTTTCCCGTCTATCAGCTCTACACGACCTTTCTTTGCAAAGTTATAGAATTTAAAAAAGAAATCCTTAAATTAATTTTTTATTTCTGTAGCTTTGAGCTGACAATGAATATTTAGGGCTTTTCTTGTAAATTCTATAACTTTGCAAAGAAAGGTTGTGTAGAGCTGGTAGACGTCTCATTTTAATCAGAAATTTCCGGGCTACAATCATACCTTATTAAGAATCGTTTTGGTTAGTTTTTCAGAGTTTCTAGAAAACTGGTTTTCAGAAAACCGGATCTTCAAGAGCCACGGAGATATATACTTTTAGGCTTTTTACTATCTCGATATAGGCTATCGATTGATTTTGGTTGATTGGTGTTGCTGCTTGCCTCCTTTCTTTTCATTCTTTGGCGTTTTCGTTTGAACTCTGAAAGATTTACCAGTAGCGTTTATCATGCTGATTCACTTATACCTTGACTGGAAAGGAATCGCCAATATCAGAAATACGCGTTTTCCCTCTGCTGAATGTGATGAAAGTCGAATAGACCGTTTTTGTGTTGGTCATGGTCAGTAATGATGTTTTGTTGCTCGACAGGTTGCTAGTCTAAAGCGTTGA